ATAGCCTGTGTCAGAGAACACAGGTAAGCAGTTCCTGAAGCTGCTACCTGAGGGAAATGCCTTCCAGAGCTGCCAACCTGGTAAACTTGATACTATGGCAGCTGCAGAAGGTGAGGGGAATGGTGTGGTATTTCCTTGGAAGTTGTGTTCTTATGAAGATATATTGGAATTGGTTTTCCACGGCTCTTATTAATAGTTCTGGAGAGGTTGGATTCCTTACATAAGGAGGGTAAATTAAACTGTCCCTTTGCATTAGGCAATTAGGGAGAGGAAAAATGAGATTTTTGATCTCTCAAAGACCACGTCTTGAGGGCAGAAGAAAAATTAATGGCTTCACTTTGCCCACAAGTGCAAAGGAGGTGAGGTATAACCGGCTACAGGTAGAAAGCATTCCCCCCTTCAGAGGTTTCTCTGGAGAACATCTGAGGAGAACAGCAGTATGGGCCATTGGGACCTGACACAGGGGCAGGTCAGAGAGCCCTGGGCTTGTCCTATTAGGAGCCTTGTGACACTGCTTTCCAGGAAGCAGCTTTCTGTGTAAAAGGCTAAGTGGACCTCATCCAGGAACCTGGCTGTTACAGGAGGAATGTGAAGACCAAGCCAAGCAATCATGAGGACAATGGCTGCTGAGGGCGGGGCCGGCCACACGGAGGCAGTGTAGAGCACTGGTCGGCTACAGGAGATTACAGAGGATTTGTTCTTGCTGCCAGCTGCATCAGCAGGAGATCCCAGAAGGGGGCTGTACTCCGTCCCTTTCTGCCTGGATAAAAATGGGAAATCCTTAATGCGTGGCCCCGCAAGGTGGCATTCTGTCTCCTGCCAGTTCTCCAACAGCAGAGGCAAGAGAGGGGTGAGATTTTAAAGGAGAGGGCTTGACAGATTGATTTATGCTCCTCACCACGATCCCCCATCAGCTTTTATCTTGGGAGAGCTGGTCTCCACTTCTGCTCCGCACCAACAAATGGGGGGAGTACAACTCACTTCTGCCCCGCTCAGCAGGAAGTGAGAAGGCAGGTCATACAAGGCAGAGCTGGCACCGGACTCTCCATTCTGCCCAGGCACAGGTGCCCCCGGCCAGCACTCACTGCAGGCACCCGCTGGAAATCATCCACGCTGGAGCACTTTCCAACATGGCCTCGGCTTTAGCAGGTGGGGCCTCTTAGCACCCTATTTGTGGCAGGCCTGGCCCAATTAATTATCTCCAAAAAAAACTGAGCAAAACAGCAGCAAAGAGACGAAAGGAATTTCAAATAAATCCATTTTATTACTTGTTATGAGCTCCGGTAAAGAGCTAGACAGGAAAGAGGACTGAAATGAATGGCAAAAATGAGCTTTTTTTTTTTAACTGCAATTTAATGTCCTGTAGTGAGAAGAATGCTTCCAGAGGTCCTACTAGAATCCTTCTGCAGCACTTCTTGGTGGCACAGAGATGGCCTCGGGCCTTGGAAAGCATTAACAGAGAAGCCCAAGCTCTGGGGACTTCTCAATGAGCTAGGAAGGCTTCGGGTACCAACCCAGCCAAGAACTATAGTCTGCACTCTGAAGTCCAGCCCAGGCTCCAGCAGACTTATCAACAGGAACACTGGGTCTTTTTCGACCAACAGCAACTCATGCCTAAGAAAGAGAAGACCCACAATTTGCATGCTTGAAGAAATCCCTCAGGCTTGGGGAATCCAGGAACAATGGTAACAGCTACAATAGGAGGAGGCTGTACATGAAAACGCTACCTCTCACAACACGGATCTTGCTGAAGGCGGCCAACTCTGAAACACGCCATCTTCGATGGCACAAGTAGAATATCTTGCTGTATTTGGAAACAAGCTATGACTTGCCAGATTCTAGAGGAAGCCTGAGGTAGTTCATTAGGGACCCAGGGACGTCAGCAGGTTTGTGAAGATCACACAAACTTACTGGATCCTGACTAGAGCGCTAGACTTAGTCAGCAGAAATACAAATGTTCCCACCTACGTACTGCACACAGTTTCAAGGAATACATATCGAAACCAGCTTGGAATTTGTAACATTCTTCTACTCTCCAAATTTCAAGGTTATATGAACAAAGTATCTCCCAATACACGATTACAATATAATACGCCATCCTTACTATATGAAAATGACATTCCAGACCCACTCACTATTATTAGTAGAACATGACTTTTTCACTCATTTTTCCTAGAATGGTATGGACGCATTTGTGCAGACACATCACCAACGATGATTGATTAATTGCCTAATTCTCACTGCTTTCCCTCTTTGGCCAGTGGCCCATACTGATGAGAAATCTCCCAGCCTGACTTAGGGATGTAACTGCATACAAAAGTTTCCTTAAACTGTTAATTTCATCTTCTCTTGAGTTAATTACTCTCAAAGGATGAGCCTTGGGCCAACTGACTGGGAATCTAAAGATAACTAGACTAATAATCTTTTTGTTTTCTCCCATGTGATTGTACGTCACAACCCTGTTGTATGTAATCCAAGTCCAGGGACGCTTTCTTCCTAGCTGAGCACGGCCCCAGTGGCACCAGCAGCAAGCCAGTGGATTTGTGTGAACTTTTTTCCTGCGGTCTCTCTGGGTGACATGTCAAATGATGAGACTGGACTAAATGACCTAAAAGATCCCTTCCATTTCTAGATCTGTGACCCTGTGACCAGCACGTACATACCACACCTGATATCTTCAAACAGAAACCCACAGAACTTAGTGGACATAAGGGGAAGCCTCTTATCTTTGAACTTAGGGGAAATGGGCAGTTTTATCTGAAGACCTATAAATCTCTTTGCTGTGGGTGGCTCACAGACCTTGAGCTCCAAAATGTTATACCTCCAGGAGTCCACAGACTATTCTTATGATAGATAGTGCCCCCTCCGCACAACCTGTTCAGTGCACAAATGAGGAAACTGAGGCACGGAGCAGCAAAGGTCTCACAAATGCAGGTCCTGTGGCTCAAAGTTCAAAATATTCTTTTCACTGTATCAGCTCACTAACATCTACAGCTAAAGGTCATTCTCTAGGACGACATAATTTTTTTTGGGGGGAGGGGTTGTTTTTTGGCTTAACCATTAGGAATTTAGGTTACAAAAAAAAAAAGCAAAGAGTTGACAAAATGGAGACTACAGAAGGAAGGAAAGCTGACTTGCACCAGATTTCCCCATTCTGAGGAATTCTATAATGTTATTTCATGAGTGTGATTTTGACTTGGCAGGTAGCAGGGTCTAGGAGCCAGAACCCCTTGCGTTGTGTCTCTCTGAAGGCTGCACACAGTACATGGATCAGACCCTAAGTATATATCATGTGCTAAGGGCCATTAAAAGAGAAACTTTTTTTGAAAAGCCTCACATGAATGTGTTGGTAACTCTCAAAGCTACATATTCCTAAAATACGCTTGATCCAATGTTTGTGGGGAGCTGCTTCTGACTCTCTCTGCACTCGGACCAGGAATCAGAAGGAAGCACCTCTAAGGGCAGTTCAGCCCTTTTCAGTTTTTCTAAGGCTCTTGTGTCTTTGTCCCCCATTTCATGCACATTTTTTCTCATTCCTTTTAAAATTATTCTGCATTTTTCTACCTTGCAATCACTCAGAAAATAAACATTCTAGTGAATTGGAAAAGCATGACACGAGTGCCCTCTAGTGGTAGCATGCTTTAATGAGCCCACGACTTTTTTTTTTTTTTTGGAGAAGAGTTTAGTTTCTATTTGGGGACTAAGGAGCCTGAAATTCTCCAACTTTTAAAAATTACCTGTATTTTTAAAAACTAGTGAATTTTATACAGCAAATCTGCAATCAATAATATCAAGGAAACTACAATTCCTGTTAAAAATTAAAACAATAAAATGGCCCCCACCATGACAACAGCCATAAAAGATGATACAGACAAATGTATCTCGGCTAAAATCTCGATAATATGCACATAAACAAATGTGTTTGTTAAGAGACTCTAAGTAATCCTAGGAACACCTTCTGATTTTCTAGTCTGTGGTGCTGAAGTCTGGAATCTCTTTGTTTAGAATCTAGACAAAGGATAAGAAATAGAATATATCCAGAAAATATTGCTAGTCTGAGGCAGAAAACAAGTTTATATTTTAGGCTGTGTCTGGAAAAACTAAAAAGCCTGACTATAAGAAAAAATCAGTCTATTTCTAATGATGAAATGAATGGATTTCTTATTATTACAATTCATAATTCTAAGGGTGAATCTTATAGCCTAGCAATCTTAAAGTCATAAAACCAAGGTCTGAGCCCCATCTCTGCCACTTCCTAGCTGGGAAGCCTTGGGCAAGGTGGTTCTCTTGTAGGAGCCTCAGTTTCTTTTTTTGTAAAATGTGGATAAAATTCTGGTGTCCTACCTACCTCAAAAGGCTTTTGTGAGGTTCAAGTTGGATGCCCATCAGGTACCTCATAACTTTGAAATCTAAGTAAGTAAGCCCTAAGGCTCACTACAAAAAATGTGAATTAACTCACAAAGCACCAAAGGCCATGCAACCCCAGCCACAGCAATGCTGCACTGACCGTCACAATGGTCCAACTCTGTTTCATGGGTTCAAATGCCACGCACTCTTTCTCAAATAAATTTGGCATGGTTTACCAACTTCACACACACTTTCTAGACTGGTTATCTTTAGAATTTCACAATGGCTTAAATTGGGGGGTGGGGAGAAGTTGTTGAGGTTCGGGTTTCTTTGAAGCCTACATGGAGTGGGTATAAATAGCTAAACAGTGAAATGTCATCCATGGAACTGGAGAGGAAAGGAGATAAGCCTGTTTGGAGTCAACTTTCTACTGAGAATGAGCCGGATTCCTGACCTTTGGAAGCAACAGGCCAGCTGAGAGACTGCCATATCCCATTCAGGTCAATAGGAGGTTAATAAGGGCAGTAGCAGCTACGTTATGGGTCCCACGTATGGGGCCTCATTCTCCAGAGGTACTTGGGGCAAGTCTGACTCACTGATCCAGGACAATATCAAGAAACTTTCCTCCAAGGAATCTCAGAATTTGTACTTACTGACGGTTACTTTGTCCTTATCCCCCAACATGATATTGTTTGGCGTGAGGTCTCGATGGACAATCCTTTTCTCTTTATGCAAGTAACGAAGAGCCAGGCACAGCTTGAAACAAGAAACAGAAATGGGTTTATTTTTCCACACAGAAATATAGACATAAAGACAAATGTAGACATGTAGGTGGAGGTGGAGATGCTGAAGCAGGGGTAAAGACCCTTGGACAAGGTCAGATGTAGGTATAAATACAGGTAGATGTAAATGGGAATACAGACAGACAAAGGCATAGACATAGATAAAGACTCAGCTATATCACAAAGAAAGAGATGAGACAGAGATGACAGAGAAAGAGACAAAGACAGAGATGATATAGACACAATGACAAAGATGGTAGAGATAGTGATGACAAGATGATAGAGACAAAGACGACAGAGACAGACAAAGACAGAGATGATAGAGAGACAAACACAAAGATGATGGAAACACAGATAAAGACAAAGATGATAGAGATAGACAAAGACAGAGAGATGATAGAGAAAGAGACAGAGATAGAGCTACCTCAATGATTGGTAAACTTGCATGTCTCCAAGAAAGGAACTCAAAAGAATTATGCCATTTTGTGTCTTTTATAAATAATCACATTCAACGTGAATCCTTACTTGTATAAATATATTCCATATCCTCTCCTCAGTAAAATGGTGCTGTTTCTCTTTCAAAGAACTGAAATGTTCTCCAAGAGGTGCCCCTTCTATGAGTTCCATAACTATGTACAACCTGTCATCTACACACAAAAGGATGAAAAGGCAACAGCATTCAATAGAGACAATAACCTATACAGCACCTAGCACCTGGCACAATGTTATGTTATCAACATAATAGGCACAGTAAATACTCAATGACTGAAATTGTGTAATATAAAACAATAAACATAAATATTATTAAATAATGTAGTATCATTGTTAATTAAAATACTCTATTATTCCTGGCTCCCTATTATAAACCAATACCCATGATTTTATTGTTTATAAGTTATTAATATTTTCATTAATAACAAATACTGTGGTAATATACTTACTTTCTAGGAAAGTTTTATAGTAGCGTACAACATTGGGGTGATAAAGCTGTGAGAAAAAATGAAAAATGTGTGAGAGGATGGGTTAGAAAAATCATATCTGAAAATATCTCATGGAAAATTTTAGCTAGGCTTCAAACAGGAAAATAAGAAATTTAAAATATTTTACAAGTTGTAAAGTCTCACTGAAATTATCATGATCTTTTTTATTTATGCTACAGTCAATAAAATATTATCTCAGTACAAAAATCTCCTAAAATATAGCCTTCAAAAGAAGTCTAGTTAACTATGCTGTATTGATAATCACTTAATCATATAGAATCATATAACACACAATTTAGAGAGAACCTAACCCCCTCATCTTACAGATGAAGAAACTGAGATTCATGGAGGTTTTATTTTAAAATTTGAATTTGGAAATTTTTAAATTCCCAAATTGTCTTCCCCCTATTTTATCTATCCAAGTTTCCCTATCTCTCAAAAAAAAAAAAGGTAATTACAAAACTAAAATTCTCTGAGATTCCACCCAATTTAAGCTGTAAAAAAAATAGATTAATTAACTTGAGTTGTTTGGGAAGTTATTTGGAAGCTAGGTAATCTATGGACAGCTAGATGGTGCAGTGGACAGGGCTCCAGGCCTGGAGTCATAAAGACTCATCTTCCTGAGTTTAAATCTGGCCTCAGACACTTACTAGCCCTGAGACCCTGGGCAAGTCATTTAACCTGCTGGCCTCAGTTTCCTCATCTGTAAAATGAACTGGAGAAGGAAATGGCAAACCGCTCCAGTACCTTTGCCAAGAAAACCCCAAATGGGGTCACAGAAAGTTGGACGCAACTGAAACAACTGAACAACCACCAAGAGGTAATTTGATAACGACAAATTCTATGGTGGTAACAAAGGCCAAGGTCACCCCAACTTGTCAACCACTTACATTTTTCTTGTTTATTCCTTCATAAAGCAACCTGAGCCTCATATTCAGACTCCTAGTATGGTCCCTCCCTGACCTTGACTCTACTTCCTCACTTCTGCCCTGCTCTAAGGGCATTTTCATGACTGTCTCCCACCCCCCGCCTTTCTCTCTCTCTCTCCCTCTCCCTCCTTCTCTCTCTCTCTCTCTCACACACACACACACACACACACACACACACACATTCTGCTTTCACCTGACCTCCATTTCCTTTCCCTTAATGACTTAGTTCTTTACCACCCACCTATTAATTATTGAGTTAGCAGGTTATGTAATTACAGCCTCACGTCACTCACAAGTCATGGACACCACTGATCAGGTCCTCCAAGGATCCTCTTTTTCCCCCAAGTCTCTAAAAACATTAAGTCTCACCAAATAGCAAGTGGTCAAAACTGTTTAGGCAGCCTGGGGCATGACACAGGGGAGCCAGTTGCCAGGATTATGTTCTGACAACCTTACATATTTACAAAGAGGTTTCACTCCAATGCTGGACGGACCATCACGGCATACAGAGTGTCTCTTCTATTAGTAAACAAGTCATCGTTGATTAGTATCATTCCACGGAGTGAGGAGCTAAATATGGCAACTTCAGGTGGATGATCTTGCTCATTTACAAATTTGAAATCCAACAATTTTCATTAATAATTCATAGTCTATGGATGTCATTTTTTTGTTTCAGTGTACAGAGCTTAGCACAGTCCCTGGCACAGAGTCTGATTTTTTGTGACCTCACTGAGGTTTTCTTGGCAGAGCCCCTGGAGTGGTTTGCCATTTCCTTCTCCAGTTCATTTTACAGATAAGGTCAGTCTTGGAATCAGGAAGACCTGGATTCAGGTCTTGCTTCTGTCACCAACTAGTGGTGGGACAGAGAACAAGCCACCTAACTCCTCAGTAGCCCAAACAACTCTATAAGAGTAGGAATCACAAATGAGTTGCAATCTGCACTGATGAGGGGAGTTTCCAATCCAGAAGTTCTCTACATTGATGAAATCACTGGCCCAGACTTTTAAAAACAATCACTAGCACCACCATCTAATACCTACCCCAAAGAGTTATAAGACTCCAATGAGATAATGTATGTGAATCACTTTTCAAATGGGAACTAAGAAACTTAGCATTTCTACATTGGCAAGGTCCCATCCCCGGAGCTTTGGCCATATGTCTTCTCTGACTGCTGCCCACCCCTCAAGTGCATTAGAATAGTCTCACCACTGTGATCTTGGGGTAGAACTCTAAGAGGGGGCTGCAGACAGCTATGTTCTGGGGACCCATCTGACAACTCATGAGGGGGTTGGCCAAGTGAGTCCATAACTCAGAAAGAGAAACACCAGCACCATGTGTTCCTGGCTCCATCAGCCTGGGTGAGAGAAGGACTGAGGCTTCTCCCTTACCTGGGCTTTCCTTCCCTACTCAACAGACCAAAAAGCTCCCGGAGCACATGACAATGCTGAACAGGGAGGGAGGCCTCTCCCTTACTCAGCATCCCATGTCTCAAGACACAAGTTTCCCACTGCCCCTGGCTGGGCCAGCCACACGTGTCACACAGCGTAAGCCTTCACTGGCCAGCCCTGTGACAAATACAAATAGCAAGGCCTAGAACTCAGAGCTACTGTACTGATTACATTCATTATTTAATCAATAATAATTTCAAATAATCAATAATTGATTATTTAATCAATAATTATACCCATTAGTCAATCAATAGTTTCCAAAAAATAAGGGCATTCACCTGCTCCTTAATTATCGTTAGCTCCGAGACAATGTTCTTTACACTGCTCTCTCGATCTTTCTTGTCCTTTCCAAACGCAGGGTTATGTAGGTTTACTTCTTTCATTGCTAAAAGATTTTGACCACTGCGCTTCCTAACCTGTAAAAAAAAAAAATACAAGGCAAAGTGAAAGAAAGACAAGGGATAGGGGAGAGTGAAGAAAGTTCATAAACAAGGTCTTGGGATTAACCCAGGCATCTCCGTCAGTCTCGGAGCATTTAAAATTCTTATTCCAAACCCGTCTTCAGTGGGATCAGCTAAAAGCATCCATGATCCATTCTACAGTGTGGGGTGTCCAGCAGAGTCTGACTGAGGAATGACAGGCCGATGGCCGTGAAATTATAGACTTGTGGTCACACTTTAATGCAAGAACCACTCTGCCTGCTGTTTGTGAGAATTGATATAAAAAATAATAAAAACAAAAATAAAGACTGTCATTCTCAAAACACTCCTGGCCAGTTTCTAAAGCCATCAGCTGAAATAATAGCAACTGAGACCACGGTTGGAGGAAAAGAGAGGGGCCCCCTTTCACCTCCACCCGTACAAGTGCTCTATGCCTCCAGGCCCAGCTCGCTCCCAAACACCCAACCTGTCGTTCGATGAAAGGCAAACTCACCTTATAAACACATCCAAAAGCACCACTCCCAAGGTGGTCTAAAATGGCATAGTTGCCTATATGTTTCGTTGGTGCTTTATTCTGATTTATGCTTTCAATGTTTTCAGCGATCTGCTTCAGGTCATCCTCCTGATCAGAAAACGTACAGGAAAGGAGTGACCACGGCGATTCTCCAACGGGCCACATTGCAGACTCACCCCAGTACTGATAAAGCTCTGCACTTACCATCAGGGAATTCAACTTTAATACCAGCTCCTCATAAGCGCTGATATCACGTACATAATGTCCTATATCAATGAAGATCTCAAACAAGTCAGTGGGGAAAAGTCTATGTAAAAAAAAATACATACACGCTTTATGTAGACCTAATCAATTCAGGGGTATTTTCCCCCATATACTGTCTTAGTATGTGAATTTGGGCACATAGCTTAATCTCAGCATGCTTCATCTGCCTATAAAGTAGGGGAAATAATGTCTGTTCCCATTTATTTCCCTGGAATCATTACCAGTTCTGAAAAGGTTGACATCATTTCAATAGAAAAAACAAGGAAGTGGGATGGCTGATAAGAGATACGTTCCATAAGGCAAATCCCCTAAAAGGTGGTAGGTAGGGTAATCTGAGGCCTTCTTGACAAGAGGCAGAATAGCATCCGCTTCATTTTCTTCCTTTCTCCTCCCTTCACCTGCCACTTCAATTCAAGCACATCGTGGAAACAGAATGAACGTAGCTTCTCAGAAGATGCTACATGGGTTCAAAGTCTTATTCTTAGCTTGCTGACTAGACTCTATACTTCATAGAGGAGAATGTTGGTTCTCCCCCAATCCCCATAATTATTTGGCACCTGTGCTGATATGCATCTATCGCAGAAGGTTAGAGCTACGAGAACCTTGGGATTCAATTAGCCCAACGTGACATTTTACAAATGAGTTCACTGAGGCCTACAGAGGGGAAGCAGCTTGACCAAGCTCACACATCTAGGAAGTGGCAGTCAGAACTGGAATTCAGCGCACAACGCTCTCCGTGACACCACACTTCCTGTCTGGGGAGGTTCTCTCCAAGACAGTCATTCTGAGCAAAACCCACCAACTGTTATGATCACTCATAACCATCCAACCACGTCTCTACAGAATGACCTTCTAGAGATTATTGAATCCCAAATATTTACCCCTATTTATTAAGGAAAGTCAATTAGATCAGCTTTGGCATTTTCAAATGAACAGAACACACAAAACTCAAAGACTATTTTATAAATGTAACTGTTTTTATGTGCATTTAAATTTTTACTTAAAATAAGGGGACATTAAAAGTCCTTCTAGTCATGGGCAACTAAGAAAATTTATAACCATATGGTGGCTTGTCTCTATGATTTCACAATTGACAGTTATTTATACTTTTCCATAATTAGTTATTTGCAAAAGGTAATTTTCCCAGCAATGAACCGATTTCTATCTTCATGATTCATTTTTCCTCTGGCATGAAACGTTTATCTGAAAACAGGCCCCATAAACAAGTTAAAATTGAATGCTAGCTTTAGCAAAAACAAGCTCCTTGGCATTTAAAACTCTAAAACAGGCCCCATTTTTCCTCTGGCATGAAACGTTTATCTGAAAACAGGCCTAATAAACAAGTTAAAATTGAATGCTAGCTTTAGCAAAAACAAGTTCCTTGGCATTTAAAACTCTACAAACATGTACCTTTTGAAGAGAGGTCTATTCCTTTCCATACTGAAGAGAAACCGCAAGGCTCTAAAAGCATAACACTGTAAAATAAAATAAGTAATAAGCTTTTGAATACTATCAGGTGATATACAAAACCTTTAAATCACAGGATACACCTGCTTGACTTGTCCTATCCTTAACACTGTTCCTTCTCAGCCTTCTTGGTAAGATCATCCTCCTTCTTCCCTTCCACTCACAGTGGGTGGCCCCTAAGGCTCTATCCCAGACAAAGCACAAACTTATCTTCTCTCTCTACACACTCAGGTGAACTCCAATGGGCTCCTTTATGCAGGTGACCCCAGAAGCTTGATGTGCCGCCCTAATCACTCTCTGTTCCAAACATCCCTATTTCTGTTGAGGGCATGATCATCCATCCAGGCACACAGCTATGCAACTTTCGAGTCATTCTTGCGTCCATCTCCCCCCATCACCCCATATTCAATCAGCTGCCAAATGTTGTCAATCATACCTCCACGATATTCTCAGTAGACTTCCCCCTTTTGACACTAACTTAGCTTTTACCCTAGAGCAGGCCTGCTTCACCAAACACCTGGATTTCTCCACCCAGATGCCAAACTGAGATTCCTTTGTCATAGATCTGAGCATGCCACCTCCTTTGCCCCAAAATCATTAATAGCTGCCTACTGCTTCTAAGCTAAAATACAAAACCCTCACCTTTGCTTATAAAACCATTTGCTTTTTAACTCTCACCTACCTTTCCAGTCTTCTCTCATATTTCTCCCTTTAATACATTATCTGCTTCTATCACAATGGCCTACAAGTGGTTTCCTACACATGACATTCTATATTAAAGATAACAATAGTAGCATTTGTATAATACCTCAAGGCTTGCTAAGCACTTTACAAATATCTCCTTTCAACCTTAGAACGACCTTATAAGAAAGGTGCTGTTATTCGTCAGGTGACTTTCCCAGGGTCACACAGCTAATCCACGTCTGAGGCAGAATTAGAACTCATGTCTTCCAGACTCTAATTCCATCCCTTCTCCCACAGTCACCTGGCTGCCTCACATGTACTGCATACTTAGGAGCTGCCCTACCCCCAACCCATTACTCTACTCTTGTCATTCACTTGATTTTAATCTTCTAGTTTCTGTAGTTCCTCCAATATGAGGCTGGCCTTCCCCAACCCCTCTTAATTCCAGTGCCTTCCCTCTGTTAATTATCTTCTATCTATCCTGAGTATAGCTTGCTTTTCATGCCATCTCCCCCATTAGATTGAAAGCTCCTTGCGGGCAGGCACCGTATTTTGTCTCTTTTTGTATCCCCGGCACTTAGCCCTGCTCCCCACTACCCCATCCTTCATGAGAAGGGCCAGTTGGAGCACGACCACACCAAAGAGTAAAATGTCCATGAGGAAACACATTTTAAGAATCGCGAGGATGGATGCTGCGTTTCTGGATGGCCCCTCAATAGTGGTACAGTTTACGTGAAAAAGGAAACATCAGAAAAGACGAAATATAAAATCAGATGCCGCCACATCGGCCTCAAAGTCCCCAGTCGCCACTGTAAGAAATGACATGTCCCCAAAACACACTCAAGTTCCTTAAGAATCTGACCGATGTACTGAATTGGTCACGTACTTGCCCAATGCACATCATCACAAGTACATGAATTCTGCCGACATAAGACCTGCAAAGTTAAAATTCAACAAGCACTTATTAAACTCCTACGGTGGGGCCAGAAAGACAAGCCAGGCTCTACTCCAAAAAGCATCCCAATTAGCAGAGGAAAGACGAGTACAAAAAGAGCCTGCTACAAATCACAGTGAGGTGAGGTCTGAGGGAAGCCTGCCCATCTGCTTCAGTCTCAGAATCACAGAATTTCAGAGGCAGAAGTGGACAGTATCGTTCATACAACATGACTGACAAATAGTAACTGAGTCTTTGTTTAAAGACCCCCACAGGAGGGAAAACCTACCACCTCCCAAAGCAGCCTCTTCTAATGGCAGATCACTTTCATTATTAGGCAATTTGTCCTTTCTTTTCAAATCTCCAGTGCCTACAGGGCACAGTGATTCTCATATAACAGACACTTAATTAATGCTGATTGATCAAACTGAAATCTGCCTCTCTGTAACTTCCACCCATGGATTCATGTCAGTGCTGAAAAGCATACTGTCTTATCCTAGGAGGATGTCAAAGAAGTTGATTTTTTTTTCCTTTTTCTACAAAGCAACAATCTCATTAATTCTATGCCTTCAGGTTAGAAGTTGGCTTGCAATCCCTTCCAACTAGGCAAGTCCATAATACTTATTCTCTGGTTAACCTGTATATAATAACACTTGCCTAAGAAAGAATATGGTTTTTCTATGTTTTTTTTTTTCCAACAGCAACGTATGAGAGTTGAACTATAAGGAAAGCTGAGGGCCACAAACTCGACACTTTCAAACTGTGGTGCTGGAGAAGACTTTTGAGAGTCCCTTGGACAGGAAGGACATCCAATCAGTCAATACTTGAAGAAACTAATTCAGGCTATTTCCTGGAAAGTCAAAGCCTGAAGCTGAAGCTTAAATACTCTGGCCACATAATGAGAAGATGGGACTCACTAGACAAGACTCTGATGCTGGGGAAGATTGAAGGCAAAAGGAAAAGGGGATATCAGGGGATGAGATGGAGAGACAGACTCATGGAAACAACGAATGAAGCTGGACAGACTTCAGGAGGTAGTGGAAGAAGAAGGCTGGTGTGCTATGGTCCATAGAGTTACGAAGAGTTGAACACAACCGAATGACTGAACAACAACAAAGAAAAATAACATACTTAAGCCTGGGAGCAACAGGCTTATGAGTATATTTTAAGGTGGCACACATTTCAGCATGAAATATTTTTTTAAACATAATCTCTGGGTTTTCATGTCGGTTCTTCTCCGATCTGACTCTGGACTGCTGGTGCCTTCCCTCCCAGACTACCTTGTATTTACTACTTGGCAGAGATTTGCATTTTATTCCCTTTGCATTTATTCTGAATGTGTACTTGTTATCTCTCCCATGGATTATTCCATTTCATTGTTCTTGCACCCAGCCCAACAAACAACAGGCACTTAATAAAGCTTGCTGATTATCTAATGGATCTTTCTCAGTCCCCTTTGCTGGTTCATCATCCATATTAATATCCTCTCAGCTTCTTCCTCTTCTTCCTCTACATTCTCTCATTAGGTCCTACAGGTTTCATTATTGTCTGTCTGCAGACGATTTCCAGAAGATCTATAAATTCAGCCCTCATCTCTCTCCTCAGCTCCAGTGCCTTATCCATCGCCTACTGGACATTCCAAGCTGTGTTTCCAATAAATATCCCAAGTTCAGCACCATTAAAGTAAATCTCATTTTCCCCAAACCTTTCCTTATTCCAATCACACCATCCTTTAGTTTCCTATACTTTCAAACTCAGGTTCACCCTCCGCTCCTCACTCTTCCTCAGCCCACATCTTCCATCGGCTGTCCAGTTTTGCTCCTTCTCCCTCCACATCTTTCAAAGCTGTTCTTTTCCCACTCTTCACAGAGCCACCACCTTGGTTAAAGCCTTCCTCACCTCTTGGTGGGAGGCCTGCAATAGCCTAACTGGCCTTGCTGCCCCAACACACCCTCTACCCAGCTGCCAAAGCGATCTTCCCCGAGCACAGGTCTGACCGTATCATCGCCCTACTCAATAGGCCACAGTGGCTCCCTGTCTCCTCCAGGGAGCCTCTCTTGGTTGCTCTGCTGCGTTCACAAGCTTGCCCCAACCTGCCTTTTCAGACTCTCTCACACACGGCTCCCTTCCCCCACTTTCAAGTCTAGACACCTTGGCCTTCTTGCTGCTCTTCTCATACAATACTCGATCTCTTGCCTCTGCACCTTTGCACTGGCCAGTCCTCAGGCCTGAAATGTGCCTTCTCCTCCTCCTCACCTCTACCTCACAGACTCCTTAAAAGCACAACCTGCTGCAAGAAGCCTTTCCCGATATGCCCAACTGTTAGCACCCTCCCTCCCTAAACCACCCTGTGTACATGCAACAAATGCTGCTTTCCCCCAAAGACCACAAATTCTTTAAGAATAGGGTCTATTTTGCTTTTGTCTGAATCCTTAGCACGGTACCTGGCCAACAGTAGGCACATGATTAAGTGCTCTGCTGGTCTATTGATTGATTGATTCATTCATTCATTCATTCATTCATGCATTCATTCATTCGTTACCTGCAATAAATGAGTTTTTGCTGCATTCTTTTGTTTGCTTGGTAAAATTAACTTGGCTATTATATATACACCATTTTCCTGTAAGACAAAAGCCAAATAACATTATCAGACGCTGGCGATACTGAGATAAGAGATAGAAATGTAATCATGTACAGCAACAACTTTATACATTAACTTATTCAATAATTCAAAGATCCATGATTTCTCAGGTGAAGTTATTCCTTCCATCAGTGTAGAATATACCTCTCCAAACTGCTAAGTGGTCTTCAAGACATTCTCCTTTCTGCTGATTAACTTGTCCTGTACTGGGTGATAGTGGAGGGAGGAAGGACCATGACGATTCAAATGTCTTTTAACCTCCTCCCACCCCATCTCTGCATGTTAAATTAACACCAATTTAAAAATCAGAAAAGCTTAGTAAATCAGCTTTAAACAAAGACCATGGGCTGAAAGACCATATAGCTGAAAACAAAAGATACAGCACCTTTACAAAACACAAACCAACAACATCACTAAAGAATTATAATCAAATAGCACTGAAGAGATATTGATGTGATTTTGTTTACTTCAAAGAAATTATGACCATAAATATCGCATACCTGGTAAAAATATTTTAAAATGGATCCTAATATGTATGCAGACTTGGGGGATGCGGGAGGGAAACTTTTTTTTTAAAGGAAATTTTTATGCCTCCATTGAATGGGATTAAAATTTTTCATATATTTTATAGATACATAGATAATATGCTTCTATTATTTATATGATGCATTTTATATATATTTATTATATTATATGTGTTGTATACAATATTACATATTACACATATATAATCTATATCACTATAAGCATACTTATATATTGTGTATTTTATATATTTTCTGTACATTTATATATTACATACTAATACATTTTGCATTTATATACTAAACATATTTAAAATAATGTGTTTTTATATTAAAATAAATGGATTGAAGTATTTTTAAAAACTGACTTTCTTATGAAGAAACTAATTAGTGCATATCTTTAAAACACAAAACAACTCACTGCTACCTTTATCACTTAACAAATGTGAAGGGAGTATAGGCATTCTGGCTGCTCCTTGGAGGGCTCTCCCTGTCCCACCTGGCCCTTTTCAGTGTTGCTCTCGAGATAGCTTGCAGGACAATCAGGAGGCCTCAGGAGGGTTAAAAGGAATCCCTTCCCCATGCCACTAGATGGAACCTTTGCTGAGTGCATCCCAAGGTGATTTGACAGGATTTCGGCTTCTCAAACAAAGCAATGATAGGAGGTAGGGTTATGGTTAGTAAAGCCCTCCTAAGAAGCCATATTACAGCAGGATACCAGCAGATGGCAGCAAAGAGCAAGAGTGGAAGGCCAGAGGAAATTCTTTTCCTTGAAACATGAAAGATATGACCCTGCCCCCATTAAGTCCTGGGGCCATATGCTTTCCTGACACAGGGGACTGGAGAGATGCATGTGTTTCCTGCCGAAGTAGCCTCTTGGGCTGTTGATAATCTTGGGAGAGTACACTGCTATGTCTATGGAAGAAGTCTGTCTTGTCACCTATTTGGCTATGGTTCACTTATCTCAGTCACATCCAACTCTTTGTGACCCTATCTGGGGTTGTCTTGGCAGAGATACTAGAGTGGTTAGCCAGATCATTTTCCAGCTCATTTTATAGATGAGGAAACTGAGGCAAACAGGGTTAAGTGACTTGCTCAGGGTCACAAAGCTAGTGAGTATCTGAGACCAGACTTGAACTCAGGACAATGAGTCTTCCTGACTCCAGGCCTGTCACTCTATCCACTGAGCCACCTAGATACCCTTATTTGGCTATACTATTTGCTTAAGTGTCTTTTGTTTTTAAGTAATGTGTCCTGAGATTGATCTGTTAAAAAGAAACATATCAGTACGGGCACAAGAACCACGGTTTGGGGCAGATATCCACCTATAAATTGTTTTATACTTGTATAGCTCTCTGGGGAATCAACATGGGCAGCGGGGGGGGGGGGGAGGGGGCACAGTGCTACACATTTAAATATTTGTCACAGTACAGGACAAGTTCTTCAGTGTCAATGAAATGTAAGTTCCTCAGTTAGAATTTGGCTTTTCACTTTTTATGGTACCACTGGTAATCTGTTTTCTTTCCTGAGTCATGACACATTTTGAATTTTCATACACTACGTCGATGAAAAATATTCTCTAAACAAATTTCAAGAAGTTGATGGTGAATTCAAGCAATGGAATTTTTCCAATCTAAAAAAAGTCAAATAGCACAAATTTTGTCCGGGGTCTATGATTCTAGGGCAGAATTCACTTTTAACAACTGTCACATTAAGTCACAGTAAGGGTCAGTCTATTTTACAGTATTTAACACACAAGCAAAACATTGTTACCACAACTATTATTACACTCTGCAAACTAGAGCCATAATTAACCTTTTAGCCTCACTTTCTAAACAGCCCTTGCATGTGTATAATTCTAACTATTTAAACTAACTTGAAAAAATGTATAAGGAAAATGAAAGGAGCTATTCTATAATGCCCATTCAAACAGCAGGGAGGTAAGAATGATTCATCAGATAAAACAGTGTTTGCTCTCTTCTTCAGTGTCTGTCAAGTGCACATTTGTTTTTCTAAATAAAATCCACTGGAAGCCAATGAGTGCTGTTGAATGCGTGGGGGTGACGAATATGAAAACTACTGTGCAATGCATCCTCAAATGTGTGAGGTGTAAAAATGAGTCTCGAATCTCCGATGATTTAGAAAAGACGCCCTACCTGTACAACTTGGTGAGCATTTGTGTCATTGAGCACCAGTTCAGTCAGAGCGGCACAGCAGGCTGTAAGGAAGAATAACCAAAAGGCTGTGAATAAGCACAGGTGGGAAGCAGCCTTATAACTTCAACAAACATTGTTTATATCCCTGACTCACATTTTATTGCCAACAGCCAAACAACTCCTCACAAAACCCTAAATTTCAGATTGGAAATTGCCCTGCCTATGAGACACACCCCGAGCACTGCCACTCCTCATCCTCCCGTTGCCTGGTGGCCTTTTCCCCAAACCACCTTGTATTTACATCACTTTGTATTTATCCTGCACGTACTTCTGCGTGGCCCTGTGGTCTCTCCCATTCGAGTGTAAACTCCTTGACAGTGGCAATTGTTTTACTGATGTGTTTGTACCTGACTGAAGAGAGAAGGTATTTTCTTGTATTTCTTGAGGGCTTAAATCTTCTGACAAACGAAGCTGTTGGATTCTCCCTGCTGCGTTTGCGCTAGACAAGCTTCCAATGGAAGAGCGATCAGAAACTAAATTTCTGTCTCTGAAAAACATAATGCAAATATGAGCAGGTGAGCAGGAGGGGAACCACTCATTGCTTACAAAACTGTCCAGCCAAACCTGAGAAGACTTACATGAACTGATGCAGAGTGAAGTGAGCAGAACCAGGAGAACCATTGTATACAGTAACAGCAACACTGTATGATGAACAACTGTGAGTAACTTAGCTGTTCTCAGCAATATAATGATCCAAGACAATCCCAAAGGACACATGATAAAAAATGCTACCCGCTTCCAAAGAAAGAACTGATGGCGTATGAATACAGAACGAAGCATACTCTTTTTCACTGTTCTTCTTTTTTGTTCATGTTTTCTTCCATAAAATGACTAATATGGAAATGTTTTACATGATTGCATGGGTATAACCTATGTCAGATTGCTTGCCACCTCACGGATGGGGAAAGAGTGAGAAAGAAATAGAATTTAGAGCTCAAAACTTAAAAAAAAGTTAAAAACTATTTTTACATGTAATTGGGAAGAAATAGAAATATTTGTAAGAAAAAACTGTTCAAATGTTAAAATTGTTTTTACATGTAATTGGGGGAAAAAATATTCTTTCTTTAAAAGAACTATTCAAATGTTAAAAATTGTTTTTACATATAATAGGGAAAAATAAAATGTCATTTGAAAAAAAGAACAGTTCAAGACTGAGTCCACCGAGTCTTCCTCCTGGCCGGCTTCGTTCCCTCAGGAAGCTCTCAATGTGGAACCACCCTGACCTAACCCTAACCGCGCTCTGCGCTGACAGCTCCCCTGTGACTTGAAAGGGAAGACTGAAGCCACCCAGTATGACTGTGCCCTCTTTCCACGTCTCCATCCCTTATCTCTCTCTCATCCTGCTCTCTGTCTCAAAGGAAGCAGAGGCGCTCTTCTGGGACTCTCTGGGTGATCTGGCCCTCTGCCCTCCGCCCTCTGCCCTCTGCCCTCCGCCCACCCCTTCTGGAAACCTGACTAATCTTGTTCTGTCTCATCTTCTTCCTTGCTTGTTTCGTTGTTGTTGTTGTTTTGTTTGGGCTAGGCAATGGGGGTAAGTGACTTGCCCAGGGTCACACAGCTAGCAAGTGTCATGTGTCTGTGGCCAGATTTGAACTCAAGTCCTCCTGAATCCAGGGCCGGTGCTCTATCCACTGACCCACCTAGCTGCCCCTACCGGCTTGTATTTTCAGTCTCTCCAATTCCTTTGAGACTATTCTTTCATATAGAAATTGGTCTCTCCCACATTGAAGGAAAACACGCCTTCACTTGACAGCTTTCCTTACTTTCCTACTTCTTTCTTCTCACTTCCAAATTTCTCAAATAACATGCCCTTTCTCCACGTCCTCACCTCTCATTTCCTTTTTAATTCTGTTATTTGGTTTCCACCTCATTCTTCTAGTTGAACTATGTTAATTAGGCCAGTGACGTCCACATTGAGAACGGTCTGTTCTAAGTCCACATTCTTCCTGACTCTGTCACAATAACATCGCTGGTTCCTCCTCCTCCTTCCCAAAGTTTCTCCTCCCTTGCCTTCTGTACCTGCATTTTCTCCCACATCTGACTGCTCCTTCCCTACATCCTAATACTCATCACATCTTCAGCTGTGTTTCCTGAGACCCAGTTCTTGGCCCTCTGGTTAGTTTCCTCCACACTCTTTGGCCCCAGTGAAATGATCCTTTCTGAAGGGATCACCAATTACTTGTACAATGATGAGTCTCTGTATTCAACCATTCACCATTTAAGTTATTCTCACATCTCCATCTGTCAATAGGACATGTCCACTTGGATGTCACAATAACAACCCAAAACAAACTCACCATCTTCCCCTCACAACGACACTTTCCACTTCATATAATGTTACTAACATTCTCCTAACTGCAGAAGCTGCTAGTCATTTTTCACTTTTCCTTGTTGAACTTTCTATTACTTTTGAGACTGTTGATCACCTTCTGCTCCTGGAGAATCCCTTCTCTTTGGGTTTTCATGACATTGCCCTCTCCCAGTTCCTTCCTATCTGTCTCACTGCTTCTTCTCAGGCTCCTCGACTGGATTTTCATCCATGTCATGCCCCCTCCAACTGTGGGTATTCCCTAAGGATCTTTCTCCTAGGCCCCCCTACTCTTTTCTATCTACATGCTCATCAGCTACCATGGATTTATCATCATTATCTGATAACTCACAGATATAGCTATCTATACATATAAATATAACTACAGATAGCCCCAATGTCTCCCCTGAGTTTTAATCTCACATCACCAATTGCCTATTGGACTTTTCAAACTGGATGTACTGGGGACATCTCAAATGCAAAAAGTCCATAACAGAACTCATCATCTTTCCCTTCATTAAATGAATAATTCACAGATTTTGGGTCCATAGTATCAGGTCCCCTATATGAAATACACCTTAAAAACAGAGGAAGTCTTTACCACTAAAAATACATTTAGATGAAGGGAGTGGAGAAAAAGCCCTATTTTGAATTAAACTCAATACGATACACAAAAAGAGAATAAGGATGAGTCTTTAAAGCATTAATTGAATACGATGCAATTTTGAATTAATATTTTATTAACAGAATCAGAGTGCCCAGCAGCTATCCCAGAAGGCAGCCCACATTCTACACAATGAAAAGGAAATTTTAAAAAGGAACATTAAAAAAATCAAGCAGGATGTAAGAAATTAATTCAGAAAATACAGGGATAAAGAGGCCAAATTTCACATAAAATCACTAAAATCAGCAAAATTTAAACTGGCACCAGTTAATGTTATAGCACTGAATGAAATATAATACAGTAATTTTAACAAGCAAGAACCTGCAAAGAGCTGCAAGTTTGCATTTCTTTTTCATGAGATGAGAAACATGATTAGCCAAATCACTATTCGCAGTAAATCTAAATTCTGTCTGTATATTTTAGGATACTCCTTCAGAGAAAATGAACTATTTTATACAATCTGATTTCTTAATATACCCAGGGAGAAAGGAGTCTGAATAGTATTGATTTAGCAACATCCAGTCATCTCAGTATTGATGAGTTGCCCAAGCTAAATTAGCATGAGTTTTATGGGCTGTAGATCATAACCAGAAAGGCTTTCAAGAAGAAATACTGTTAGTTAACTATGAATTATCAGCCACACAATATGCTTTATGATAATAATAGTTAATACTACTTTCCTGAAGGTGATGGTGGAAATGTTTTTATTAAATGCTTGCAGAACTACATTATTGAAAACTCTGATCTATCTAATATGCAAATTATAGGAGCCATATTGTAATGTACTTCATGACAATTTCAATTTGACTCTTCCTAACAAATTGTTCTTTCCCATTATCATAGTTTACAGGGTCACTGAATTCCTTTGATAGATTTACAGGTTTAAAAAAATGCCTAATACAGGCATTCATAATTTTATAAAATGTAAATTATGATGGGAAAATGACTAAAGATCTTCTACTTGCAGGTAATGTATTTATGATTGGTAAAGCATCTCACGGTCTTTGAACTTCACCAACATATGATTGATGAAATGATATCATGGACTGGGATGCATTAGGTAATAACTATTAATACTTTATTAAATATTGACAAACTAGATACTCATAAACTTATTCTAGAAAAAAAGAGATATATTTAGGTGGTTTCTCAAATTAAAAAAAAAAACTTAAGAGATTATAGGAATAGTGTTATTTTTTAATACAGTGATATGCCATGAAAATGCCTTTCTTCACAATGGCAGCCAGATATCCCATGGATCAAATAACTTTCACCAGAGCATCAAGGCAGCAGGTAAAGAATAGCTACATGTCTTATGTATGGCCTGTGCCCTCTAAGGAAGTTGTTATTTCTTTCTCTTAAAATTGGGATTATAAAGATTTCCCATCTTAGTTCTAATAGAAGATATCAGTTAAGAGATGGCTCTAACATTCTAAAAACACAGTCAAAATGACTGTAAGGGAAACCACAGAATCACAGAAGTTGAGAGTTGCGAGGGCCCCCAGTTACCAGCTAGTCCAACCCATAGCTGTAAAAAGGCTCGTGACCACACTATGCCTGACAGATGGTCTTCCAACCTCTGCACAAAGATCTCCAAAGTGACCAGACCTTTCCATCTGGGGGATAGCACTATTTATTACAAAGCTGTTCTTCCTGACATGGAGCCTACATTTGACTCTCTACAACTCTTTGCCAATCATTCAATCTGGTTCTGAACTCTGGGGCCAAAATAGTAAGGCCAATCTCTCATGCAGATACCTGAACAGAGCTATCATGTCCCTCCCTACCACCACCCCAAGTCTTCTCATGACTAAATATTTCTGTTTCCTTCAACCAGCCCTCACATGTAAAGAAAGAGCTCAATGTCCTTCTCCACCTCAGCTGTTGTCCTCTAAAGACTCTGTAGCCGATGTCCTTCCTAAACTGGGATACCCAAAATTGATCACGATGCTTCAGATGTTGTCCGACCAAGGCAAACTAGAAGCAGATGATCACCCCCTTGTTAGTAGAAGCTGTGCTTCTCTTAGAATATTCATTTTGCTGTTGTGATCGAGCAGTTTTTCAGTCACATCCGACTCTCTGTGACCCCATTTGGGGTTTTCTTGGCAAAGACATTGGAGTGGTTTGCTATTTCCTTCTACAGCTCATTTTACAGAGGAGGAAAACTTACAGATAGTAAGTGTCTAAGGCCAGATTTGAACCCAGGAAGATGAGTCTTTCTGGCTCCAGGCCCAGTGCTCTATCCACTGCGCCACCTATCTTTCTGGTTGCCAAGTCAAACTCCTGCCTTACATCGACCTTGCAATGCAGTAAAATCCCCAAGTCTTTTTGAAGCATACTGCTGTTTAAGTCTGCCTTTCCTGCCTTCTACTAGGAGAGCTGATTTCTTGAATCCAAATATGCTACTAAACTTCACACTATTAAATCAGCCACGTGTTTTAATCTGTCAAGAGACGTTTTTTAATCCTGACCACCATCCAGTGAGTCAGCTAGATGCCTCCCAGATTTCTGTCAACTGCAGGTCTAACAATCAGACTCTGAAAGACTTTAGAAGTCTAATGATAAACCAGGAATCCAGAGGATGGAAAATGAAACACTCCATCGGCCTGTTGGAGAAGAGATGAACTTGAAATGCAGAATAAGAAAGACATTTTTGGACATGGCTAATTGGGAATTTATTTTGCTGAATTAATGCACATTTGTTTTTAGGGTTTTTTTTAAATTATTCAATGGGAGGGTGGGAATGGGAGGGAGTGACAATAAGTGCTTGTATAAATAAATTCATACCTACACACACACACACGCAAACATCGGATAAGCATGTCATTCATACCTTTACCCAAGTCAATGATAGAATTTTAAGCAGCCCAGGCCAAGCTCCCACCCACTGGACACCTCCTGCCAGCAGCCACTGAGCTATCTGAGACTACTCTTCGAGTCTGGTACTCGTCCATTTCCAAGTCCATCTACTGGTGCCATCATCTTGCCCACACCTCCGTCTTCTCCACAGGGATGCTATAAGAGGCTTTCTCAAGCTTTGCCAAAATCTTGGTAAATAATTTTCTGCAATATTCCCTTTATGACCCAGTTTAATAACCCCGTCAAAAGAGACAAGGCCACTGTCTTGAGGACAGCCTCCTCTTGAGGAAGCCTTCCTAGCTCTTGGCAATCACTGATTTCTTTTCACCAAGCATCTTTTTTAATAAGCCATCCTTGAATTTTCCCAATCTGTTCTTGTAAATCACTAGAATACTTATCCTGTGCTCCATGACGGCAAACCATAACAGTCTCTGAAGAAGGCAACCCAAAGGGCAATGGAGAGAAGCATGGTGGACAAAGGAAGCCGCAGACCATTTCTATATGAAATTACTTGGGCACAAGTTGTGCTCTAAGGACTCTCATCCAGGAAATAACAAATCAGGAAAGAAGTGGGGTCACCCAGTCCAGAGGTTGAAAGATAATGATAGACAGCCTGAGTAGCTCACTGGCAAACCCAAAGGGATGACAGAGCTACAAGAACACATCCTAGGGGTTTGATATGGAAGGACAAAGGGGGTGGAGTGGGGAGCACAAAGAAAAGAAATGCTAAGGAGGAGAAGGCATGGGCGTTTTACATTCTAATGGCGCACACAGTGATGTCTTGGAGCCAATATGCTAACCTGTATCTGACCTCATGAATAGCAGTAAAACACAATACACCTTGATACTGCAAAGAATCTGTGACTTCATCAGTGTGGGTACCCCCCTCCACCTGGGCAGATAACTTGTCCATGCCTTTCCAGCCTGGGCCCTCCCAGACTCCCCCCAACTAAGGTGAGCAAGGCTTTCCTTCAGGTCTCTTAACGGTCCATGGAGACTGGTGGGAAGCTTGGGCTGGGCATTCACTACCCCTCCCCCATGTTCCATGATCTTCTGTGCCCCACCTACACAAGCCCCAACTGGCAACAGGCCATATCTCACTTACACCCACCATGCCTCTCTCCACTGCCCTTGGAATGCCTGCAGTTTTGACTCTAGGGATGGCGTGAAAAAGATCCTATGACAGGCAAGAGACAAAAGTAGTTCTAAACGATGAGCTAATTAATGAATCGGCACGAGGCGCCAGGACCTACCCCTGTAAAATGTGCAGAAGCTGCTTGATGCCTCCCCACGTGCGGATCTCCACGCTGGTCTCGGGGTCCTCACACACCTGCACCAGAATCCAGACGACGCTCCAGAGAAGTTTCAGGTGATCAGAATGGAGCAGACTGAGGAGGATGGGGATGCCTTCGTACACCTTCACCTGCTCCTTCACTTGGGATTCGGCACAAAGGAGCCGCAGCAACTCAGCAGTCAGCCTGAAAGGGGACACAGCACGTGCAAAGAGAAGCAAAGCTTTTTGCAGTCTGCCTTTTAAAAACGGAAGTTCACCAGCTACTCACTCATGAAACTACCATCAGGTTGTGGCTATGATCTTACTACAAAATTATACAATAGACGTGGCACTTCCTACTAGGACGCATCATCAAGAAATTACACCATCTCAGCAGCAGATTTCTTTATTGGTTTATCCTCAAGTAAAATATGTATTCAGATATATATAATATATACACACATACACATACACATATATACATATACATCTATATATATATAAGCACCTAGTATGTGCTAAGAATTATGTGGGGACACAAAAACATAAGACATGATTGCCTGCCACAAATAGCTTAGAATCTAGTTAGGGAGACAAGATACACATGCATATGGAAGAGCAAATAATTAAAGGCAATACAGAATTAGCTGGATCAGTGTGGACTGGTGACATGAAGCATGCTTCCAGAGGGAACAGACGGGATCTGGCCTGTGCCTTCTATAGGAATGATGGGACCAATTTTAGCTCCAAAGCACTTAAAAGCTCACAAACATGTAACACCTGTCAACTGACAAAATTCTTTCTTCATATCAATTCTGGGACAAAAGTCATGTACTATACCCATTTCACAGATGAAGAAACTGAAGAGGTCAGAAAGTAACTGACTTGCTCGAGGTCACAAAGCCAGTAAATAGCAAAGTTGGAATTCAAACCTAGGTCTTCTGACTCAACGTCCAGTGGGGGTTTTTTTGTTTTGTTTTTTTTCACTTCATCACCCAGGGCTTCTGCTTACATTACCTCATTGGAACATATGTGATTAGAACCTAGAAGAATATGTGGGGCTGGATACGCAGAGAGGAACAGAATGGATAGGATGCATAAAAAACCATTAAGAACTTACTTAATGGCAGGCACTATGCTAAGTGCTAGGACTACTGATTCAGGCAAGCAAGGTACTCCCTTCCTTCGAGAGACTCACATTCCAGTAGTGGAAGGCAAGAGAGGAAAAAGGAGGAAGGGGAGGAGGAGGAGAAGGAGGAGGAGGGGGAAGAGGAGGGAGGAGGATGAGGAGAAAGAGAAGAAGGAGAAGAAGAAGAAGAAATATAATAGTAGTAGTACGATAGTATTTCTATAGTGCTTCATTTGATCCTTACAACAACCCAGACAGGCAGAAGCTATTATTACCATATTTTACAAAGGAGTAAACTGAGGCTGAAAGAGAATACATCAGTGGTCACATGGCTAAAAAGTATCTGAAACAGGATTTGAACCCCATTTTTCCTGGCTCCCAAGTGTAGGGCTTTATCCACTGCTCCTTCCTGTCCAGGCCACACTCTGAGCTTTCTCCAACAAACACTTCCTAATTGCGTGACTATAGGAAGGTCACTTAGCCTCTGTCTGCCTCAGTTTCTTCATCTGTAAAATGGAGATAATAATCCCACCCACATACCTGAGGATCAAATGAGAATATCTGGATGATCTGCTAACTTTAAAACATTCATATGAATGCTCGCTACCATTATCATTGTTGTTGTCGTTATCGTTGTTATTTCTGTCAATCTTTCTATTGTCCTAGGGACATTCTTTGGAGACACCTTAAAGAAAACCGCCTTGAATGCGGCACTAGAAATGCACATGATGAAAAACTCAAGGTGTCAGATCCCAGACGAGCAGCTGGGATGGCGCCCCTTGCACTGGAGAAGAGAGTGGAGGGCATGGACGCTCACAAGAGAAGAGCCCCAACCAGCTTTGAACCGAAAGAGCTTCATTCTTAATACTGAAGACTTACTTCTGAACAAACTGCAAGGAGACTTTCTCTATGCATGTTTATGTTCCAAAGCAGACGGATCAGGGAGAAGAAAGACAAAAATCAATAGGAATAGCTCGTCTGGTTTGGTTCTCAGGAGAATGCAACCATCTATATCAGTGCCTCTTTTATGTAGTACTGCCAGGGAATTAGGTGATCCACAGAAGTAAATTTTCCAGACCCCTGAACCTCCTTATCTACTAAAACCTCTTAAAAACAAATCTTTAGATGGAAATATTTCTCATTTGGCTTAAACAGCTTCCTGACTTAAACAGAAAGTAAGCCACATAACTTAATCTTCTCTTGGTGACTCACTGTGATGAAAAGAACTCTAGATTAGAGGTCAGGGGTGGCCCTAGGATGCAAATTGAGCACCACTACCTATCTAGTCCTTATACCTCTGGGTTTCTTCATTTGTACAAATGACAGACTGGGCCAGATGGTCCCTAAAGTTCCTCCTGGTTCTCCGGGACATGATTTCACAATTCAGGATGATCATTATGAATCCTTGTTCTGATGAAGGGTTATATTTATTCACACACAGAATTGGGCACATGTAACTTCACAGGAGGCCGCTTAGGCTTGAACTAAATCATTTAATTTCTCTGTACAAATTTCCTTGCACGTACATGAAACTGGGAGTTTTCCTATCACTTGAATTTTACAATATTAAATAAACAACACGCTACAAGAAGAAAATAAAATAAGCTTCCCCCATAAACGTAAGATGGTCTCTTTCTTCCACCAAGAATCCTACCTTTTAGAGAGCAGGTCATACTCATGTAGGATCATCAGCAGGTTTTCCACGATGCTGAGTTCACTGATCTTCTCCCTACATTCTGGACTGCGAAGGGAACAATCTTAGAACCCTCATTGCCTTCTCCACTGCCTTCCCATCGCATTTTCTCAGGGTGAAGACTGTCTCACAAGCTCCACACAGAATGGAGGGATTCAGTACATCATAAAACATCAACTCCATGACTAGCAGCATAGTGACTGAGTCTTGCCTCTCCCCCTCCCACAGACAAGGAGACTCATCCTTCGTTAGGATACACGCAGATTTAACAAGTTATAAAACTCAATGGTCTGGAAAATGAGCTGGAGTTTCCCATGTACTATTTTTATTTTAAACAGATTTGTATTGATATCTTTTGTTCTTACATCATCTAAAGCTCCCCCTCTATCCCTCCTCATCCCCTCTCCCAAAGAACCATCCCTTTAAATAAATATTTTTTAAAAAACAAAGAAGAAAAAGAGAAATCAGTCAAACCAACCAATACATCAAAAACACCTACCACGTTACCTACGCCACCCCTCTTAACGTCGGAAGAGCAAAGAACGGGCTCAATAAAAAATAAAAGGACTGAGGCATAAAGCAGGACGAGCTGGAGCCTGAGAATGGCCTTTCTGAAAGTCTTTTTGAGGGCAGTGAGGTGGCACAGTGGATAGAGCTTTGGCCTTGGAGTCAGGAGGCCCTGACACTTCACACTTACTAGCCGTGTGACCCTGGGCAAGTCACTTAACCCCATTGCCTAGCCAAAAAAAAAAAAAAGAAGACTTTTTGAAAAATGTTAAAAACAGACATGCCTTTAAAGAAAGGGCGGTAAAGCGTTTTTTAAAGAAAAGAATTAAAGTCATTTCAAAAACACCAGAAATGAGGGAAAGAAGGAGACGCTGTAGACAATTCAGTCAGAGAGAAGAATCTTCTGAGGCAACGAGCCCCTCTAGCTCACGAAAAATACACCACGTTGGTCCAGGATCCTCCATAAAGGAACATCGCATGTCGTGACTGCGCCACCAGGGCTTTTTTCAAAATTAGACTAAGAAGCAATGGAGCCAGGGAGACTGTGCCCACGTTCGAGGAGGGGATGGAGGAGGAAGAGGAAAGAGGAGGAGCCTGTATCACAGCTGAGGCTGAGAGTTAAAAGTATATTAAAAGAAACTTACCTTTCAGCTAAACTGGTAAGTGCAAGAAGGGCCCCCAACAGAACATTTGTGTCTCTGGCTCCTAATAAATTTACTAATGTCTGAAAAAAAATAGATTTTTAAATTAAAGGCCAGAAAGTGTGTTTCTTGGTTGTTATGAGTTTTTTCTTTGCTTGTTTGTTTATCTCTTAAGAACATAACAAACCATTTAACACATTCAGCTACACATTGAAAATGTCTCACTTCTGCACAGGGCCAGCACCTCTCCTTACTGCCTGTTGGACGGGCCAGGCTATAACCAGGAGAGAGGACAGAAAGCCCACCCAGGACTGCCAGGTTGGTTACCCCATGTTCTAGAGGCCAGTCTCCATCTCACACCTCAGAAGAGAAGGCTGGAGGGCCTGGCCGGGAGCCTCCAGCAAACCCTGGAAACAATCCCTTCTCTGTTTCTGTCGCTGCTCAGCTCTCTTTGGCCAGAGAACTCCAGAAGGCCTGGCCAGCTTTCCTGCTTCTCCCAGCTTCCTCTGAGGTCTCCCAAAGGCCCCTGCTAGTATGCACTCTGGGCTCATTCCCCACCTGACAGGCCACAGGCTCCTCAGAAACAAGATTTAACATCCCAGCAATATGGGAGGAATCAAGACACGTAGACAATATTCAAATCGGTTACACAAGTATTAAGGGCTGTGTACACAGGGGACAAAAATTAATCCAGACTACTCATTGGAAGGACAAATACCAAAGGTAAAGTTTAAATGCTCTGGCCACATAATGAGAAGATGAGACTCATTGGGAAAGACCCTGATGTTGGGAAAGACCGAAGGCAGGAGAAGAAGGGAATGACAGAGGATGAGTTGGACAGATGGTGTCATGGAAACAACCAATACGAACTTAGATAGCTTTGGGGAGATAGTGGAGGATGAAGGTCCTGGTGTGCTATGGTCCCCGGGGCACAGAATCGGATGCAACTAAAGAAGAAACAACAAATACGAGGTACATAGAGATGAAATAAGACGTGACGTCAAGAAGCGCGCAATCGAATGGGGCTGAGGGACAAGACGTGGCTGATATTCACCCTCTCCTACTATTCCTGCCTATGGTCAATTTACTTGTTCCCAAGGCAATGGAAAGAGATGGTGGGATGATTCCAGGGACCAATGGTGAAGCATGGTGCCCACCTCCCAACAGAGAAGTGACGAACTCAAGAATCAGAAGAAGTAATAATTTTCAGGCACAGCCCATGTGGGAATTCTTGTTTGACCAAACATATGTTACAAGGGCTTTGTTTTTCTTATTTCCAATGGTGAAAGGGAGAAAGGAAGGCAAAGGGAGATAGGGATTAAGAAGAAAGAAAAAAAGGAAGGGAGGGAAGGAGAGAAGAAGGGAAGGAAGGGAGGGAAGGAAGGAAGGGAGGAAGGAAGGGAGGAAGGAAGGGGAAGGAAGGAAGGAAGGAAGGAAGGAAGGAAGGAAGGAAGGAAGGAAGGAAGGAAGGAAGGAAGGAAGGAAGGAGAGGGGGAAGGGAGGGAAGGAAAGCAAATTAGGAAGCAGGGAAGGAAGGAAGGAAAAAGGCATTGAGGTGAAAACAGAGAGAAGGCCAGAAAGAATGCCAGAAAAACAGGGCAGTTCTGAAAGCTACAGGCTAATCTTATTATATACTTCAAAAGAAAGTAAACTATACATAGAAACTGACAGCTTCATGTACAATTCTATTTTTCCATTCTAATAGATATGTACATCAAAATATCCACATATATTCAATACATAAGATACATAGATATATACAGATACACATATATATACACTTGTGGATACATATGTATGTATATGTGGATGTGTATATATGTACATATGAAATGTCCGTTTGATTCAGTATTGAAGTCCAGAACAAAATGTTTTTGAAAAGAAGAAAGAGGTGGCGAGGCTGCCAAGGAAACCCGTCCCTCCCCTTCTATGCAGCAGTGGTTTTGTTTGTAAGTCAAGGAGTGTGTCGCTGCCTTCCTATTAGTAATTGAAAGGGCAGGAATCTGAGGCCAAGGAAAATGTCCAGATTCCCTGTTTTTCCGCCTGTCGGGAATGTCTTCTCTATTCTTTGATCTCTCCCTGAGACTAAGACATCTATGTTTGTGGGGAAAACTTTGCTTGGATTTCTACTACTTTTAATTTTCCAAGCTAATACTTTCCCCCCCCTTCCCAAATAGGGCAGATAATTAAGAGATATTGAGAGTCTCAGAAACAAGTTTCCACTGACAACAATGGCGCTCCTATTCAAAATAAAGAAACGTCATCTTTGGATAGCTTGTTTGCACACAGCTGTTTGTGTGTTGTTTCCTCTGTTAGACTGTGCGCTCCTTGAGGACAGGAACTGTCCTTGGCCTTTGTACCCACAGCACTTAGCAAGTGCCTGGCACACAGTAGCCGCTTAATAACTGCTCATGCTTGCCTGACTACCAGGCAGTGGGAGGCAATAGCAGCTAGAAGAATCTGGAAAGGCTCACATAGGAGGCAGGGTTTGAGCTGGGCTTTGAAAGAACCAGGCATTCTATAAGGAAGAGAGGGGGAGGGAACATTTTCCAACAAGCAGCACGGGACATGTGAATGTCATTAGTGAGGTCTAGCGAGAGGGACAGTGTGGCTGGACTGACGGGCGCTGGAAGGGGAGGCAGGAGGCAGCTGGTAAGGACCTCGAGATGTCAAACAGAGGCACCAGTGAGCCATCCTGAAGGGAGCAGGAGTCACAGGAGTAGGAAATAACACGGACCAATCTGCATTTTAGGAAACATATTTTGGCAGCTGTTGGAGGGTGGACTGGAGAGGAGAAAGGCATGAGGAAACCAACAAGGAGGCCAGCTCATAGCCCAGGCAAGGAGGGACTAACCCCGTGAGCTGGGAGAAGGAGGGCGTTCAAGAGAGACGTGAAAGGGACAAAACTTCGCACATGACCAGATATGTGGGGCGAAGATGAGATCCTGGTGGTGGTAGAAGGATGGAGGTATCCTCAATAGAGCTTTGGGATTGGGGCACATTTGGGGAAAAGACACCGAGCTCCGTCAGAGACTTTCTGAGCTCCAGTCATCTCCTGGACATTCAATCAGATACACCCAACATGAACGTGGGGCTGAGATGCGGGGAAAGACACATGACACTCTTAGGAAAGGCCAAATCCTGAAGGATTCCAGGGCGGGGGAGGAGGGGGGTAAGAAAACATCTCCAGAATGGGAGGTAGGTGGCCTGTGCAAAGTTAAGGAGATGGAGACCTGAGGAGCACAACTACAGACCACCGGTGCTTCCTCAGCAAGAGAGAGTTAACCTGGCCAGTTATCACGTGCCAAAAGTCAAGTAGGTTAATCTGTAGATAATTTAAAGCTCTTACCTTGTGGGCTCCACTTGCTATGACCCATTCTCTCTGATCTTTGACAGCAGAAAGTTTTTGAAAGATATCTAGGAGAGAAAGGAAATCACAAAGTGGGTTTCTTGGTCCCCTCCCATCCCCCCAGTGCTGATCAGTCCCCTGAAAACACCATATCAGGGGACGCAGCACCAAGGTGGGCCATTAGCTTCATGGGGAAACGTTACAAACCATGATGAACCTCCCTGGGCAGCTGAAATTCAAATTATAAAAAGCATAAAATGAGGAAAGAGAAGACAGATCCCCCACAGACTGTCAGTGCAGGAAGGACCATTAGGAATAACTGTGGTATAGATGAGGGAATGGAGATTGGTCAAGGGCATTCAACTGGCCCCACTGGATCCAGGAGGGGAGAGAAGAGGAGCAGAGGTAGATTCTATCAGGCTAGAAACTTTCCTCTCCCCTTCCTGGGCCTTCCCGCTTTTCCGTCCTTGAGACCTTCTTGGCCTTTTCTCTCTCTTCTCCTACCTGTCCTTTAAAAGGGACTGCGGGTGAGGCAGAGAACGGAGATCTTCTCCTGGGCCTGTCCAGGCACCATTTTCTAATTAGCTGAATGCTACACTTCCTAATCATCAGAAGGTGGAAGTGTGTCGAGACAGGCAGGAAAGACTGTCCCTCTCCAGGACCAGAAAACTCCTCAGAGCTTTGTGGGATTTGACAACGGCCGAGCAGCAAATGGAAGCTTGGCTGCTTCTCTCTGGGGCAAAGAGCCACGTATCAACATGTGGAGAACCCTTCAGGACTGGTGGATATTTCAACTTCAAACAAAGGCATTACCTTGATGGTGGTAATTTTTTTTTTAATTTCATAGAAAAGATGTGCACAACCTTTGGAATGATAGTGAAAATCAATGGGAAAATAGGATTTTACCAAAACTGATGGAATGTATCCAGTTCATTTAATGAAGGCTATATATACTTAATAGCTAAATATTTTATTCAATATATCTTCTCACAAAAAAATGTTTTGCAAAAGCTCTGGTCATGACCTGAGAGCTGCTCCTCCACATTCAGTGTATATTGAGACTGGGGGTAGGTAGCAGGGAGGGCATCCTAGACCTGTGATTTCACTGGGGCAGGGGAACTCCTGGAGCAGAAAGACACACCACTAACACAGGTGGGTGACCATTCTACACCTTTCGGACTTAAAGGGTTGTTGTCAGAAGTGACTTAGGTTAAATGACTGGTCTATGTTCACACAGCTAGCTCTGTGTCAGGGTCAGGACTTGAACCCAGATCTCGTTGACTACAAGGCCAGTCCTTAATCCACCATAAGGACTATACTTCCTGGTACCTCTAGCTGAAGTTAATTGCATGGGACTCAAGCCATAAGTTTTGTACATCTTAGATACTCAAATTAGCCTCTTTTTTCCCTATCACAAAGAATCATATATGTATTCATTATAAGGAACAGAAAGTCCAATCCAATTCAACAAACATTTACTGAGCACCTACTGTGTGCAAAGGACTGTGCTAGATACTGTGGATACAAAAGTTAAAATAAAACCAGCCCCTGCTCTCAAGGAGCTTACATTCTACAAGAGGGTAAAGCACGGACACAGGTAGGTAAAAACAGGGTCATTTGTGAAGAGAGAGAGACAGAGAGAAAAGAGAGAAAGAGAGAGAGACAGAGAGAGGGAGAGAGACAGTGAGCCCCACCACCCCAACGGGATGAGCAGAGGCTTCCATCTCAGGAGGCGGCCCCCAACTAGCTACTCGCCAAGCTGTCCATGAGTTACACACCCCAATACTTACACATCATGTTGACTAACTTGTCAGCGTTATGCTGCTCTTCTCCGTATCCGAGGTACCCATCTGCTATGATTTCCATGTACTACAAGTAAGACCAAACACAAAAAAAGGTGTAAGAAGAAAAACTCTCAAAAAGGCGGGCGGCACTTTTCCACATGAACTGTAGGTGGCGCCCCATAGTCATAAACGAGTTCCCATGGCTCTTCGGACACACCTGAGAGATAAGCAAAAAGAGGAATGTTTCTCCTGAAGTCCCTCCCTGCCCTCTGTGGAGATCGCAGGGTTACAGCCTCAGAGCGAGACCTTAGAAAGCATCTAGTTTGTTTCTGCCGTTTTACAGAGGAGAAAACTGAGACCTACGGAGGGGGATTCCCTTGTCCACATTCACTAGCAGTGAGTGGCAGAGCAGGGACTGGAACCCAGGACCCTGACTCCAAATCCAGAGCTTTCTACCAAACGTCACACGTGTCTCTCCACTCAACATAATGTGCTAAAATTCACAGCAGCTGTGGAGCTTCAGGTGTCTGTCATGAAATGAGCAGAAGTGGGTGGAGGGCGGGACATCAGAACAGGATAAATGAGCACACAGAAGAGTACACGGACGTGCAGCACGTGAAACAGGGTCTAGGACAACTTGCAACATGAGCGTTATTTATCTTCTCAATATTCCTACACTGGCCAGTCATTTATAAAGAGTCAGGAAGACACAAGTTCAAATCCTACTTCAAGATTCTTAGATAAGCTTTGGCACTCTGGGCGAGTCCACCTCTGTGGGTCTGTTTCCTCATCTGTAAAATAGGGCTTACAAGAACATCTCCTTCCTAAGGTCATTGTGAGGATGAAATGAGATCAACTATTTCGACTACAGATGATATTGTTCCATGATGACCAAAATCACATCGAACACTGACCATGCTACGAAATGAATTTCCAAACACAGGGAACTGCAATCTTGGTATTCTGGCTAACTTAATACTCTGGATCCCTGAGAGGGTTATGACCAAAGAATTCTAATAAAATACACTTAATGCTAACACTGTGCTGAATGTGGGTGGTTCAGAAGGTGCTTCGTTTCCTCTGGGTCATTGGTGATAACTCAACCACACGCTTGGGGTAGGAAATTTCGGAGACTGGGCTACAATGGGCTTGACGGGGATTCCCGGGCCCGGGAATTTTATTTGTTTACTATTTTGTTTTTAATCAATACAGGACACAGGGCCTAGCAAAAAGCATTTGCCTTCTTACCCTACCCTCAAGAAGCATACAAGTTATAAACTCAAAATGCATGATGCCATATTTCGTTGCTGATTGTTTCATATTATAATTATTCATTATTGCTGAGTAAAGGACCGGTGCCACTTTACAAACTTGGGGTTTGGGGTTTGGGTTTTTTTTAATTTTTATTTTTCTTGGATCCTATCCGTGTTGAGGAAATAAATGGGAAGCCAACCTGATCAGTGTGCCTCATATTTCTTCCCTTGACTAAACTAAATTATACATGACCTTTCATACCCTTTCTAATTTCAACTGGCAGGCTCTTTGCAATCCAGTTAACCAGAACAAAAAGTCCTGGGTGTTGGCTTCCACCAGCAGGAGCCTGGTGGCTTTATCTTTCTGCATGACTGTGAGCCACACCTGCTGCCCCGTGGGCAGCCATGGGAATGAATCCACCCTGCTCTCCAGGACGCATCACCAGGCGCGTTCTTTTCTTAGGTGCTTACTGACCACCTGCCCCTGAGGTGAACGCCAAACCACAGAGGAAGAACAAGAACAAGGAAAGGTCTCTTACCCGGGCGAGGTTTTCAATCCCACCCAAGTTATGGAGTATTTCCTAATAAAAGAAAAAAACATATATTAACTTTCATGAAGAACCGAAACCATTTTTAAAGGCCACCCAGGGAAAGGGGAGGCATAATTTGCACCCTTCACTGTGCTGTGTTTTGTATATTACAATATGAATATGAAAAAAACCCAGGCTTGTATTATCAGCATCACAGGGAAGAGAAATGATTAAGGGATGACATTTTATGATGAGGGGAAGGGAAGGGAATATATCTTCTTCCCCAAAGCAGAGCTACACTACCATTCTGCTTACTCAATTTGATCAGAATAGCAATATTATTTTAAAATAATGTCTTTTTAAAAATCTAAGGCACAAGGATGTCAAAAAGAGTGTCCTGCTATTTCATACAAACTTTCAAGTAACACACACATCTTAAAGCTAAGGATTTTTACTGACCTTCTAAAACTGGCCAAAACATTGTGGCATTTAAGGATGTGAGGAGCAGTTAATGCAATATTTGAGGGAGAAAAATAAGGAAGGAGAGAAACAGCTGGGAAACGTGGCCGTCATGTTTATAGATAATCCGCTTAATTACAGAATTAACAACAGCACAATTCACTCTAATTTTAACTTTTTAAAAAGCAGTCACAAAAGGTCCTTGGCTAAGAACGGAGTGTGCTTTGGAAGGGCCGGTAAAAACAATGACGACAACAGCTCCTCTTCCTAATGCCTTGTAAGAAAGGCACACCAAAGTATTAGTGTTACAGGCATTCTTGTGGTACTGTGACCTCTGCTTTGGGGAGGAAGACATATTCCCTTCCCCTCATCATAACATGTCATCCCTTAATCATTTCTCTTCCCTGTGATGCTGATAATACAAGCCTGGGTTTTTTTCATATTCATATTGTAATATACAAAACACAACACAATGTAAAGTGCTGAAGAAGGTTTTAAACGGTACAAGGAGAGAGGTGGAGAGATTGGCCAACACAGATCTGGTACCGCAGAGGGGCGGCCCACAGAGGAGGAACAAGAGAGGACCAGTAATAAACAAGAAACAAATTCAAGAAGACAGCCGTCAGTGACAGCCAGGATGTCAGACGTCTATTTGCAAATGCACAAAATGTCAGTCATAAACAGCCTATCGCAAAAAGACAAATTTGGCCCCAAACTGAGACTTTGCAGGATGAAAATCAAGACTGAAATTTTATTCAGGAAGATTATATTTTATTCAAAAGAATAGAATTGATAAAGCCTCTGGAGAACAGCATCGTGTATTAAAGATATATTAATATGAGGAAAGCCAGGAACCTGAAGAAAGAAAGAGCATTTGGGTAAGGAACAATGGAGTTAGAAAAAGAAGTAATATGGTCATAGGAGTAGTAGACTGATACGACCGCCCAGACAGAAGAAGGAATCAAATAAAACCAAGACAAATTTGGTAATCAGAGGACAAACCTGGCACAGAAACATGATGAAATAAATGGTTATTGATGAATGAGTTGTAATAACAGGGGACTTCAACCATCTAGCTAGTTTCTAGAGGTCTCTCTGTTGAAAGCAGAGCAGTTGATAAATTTGTGACTTGACTTAAGGACAATTTCATCCTTCAATGGCAGAAGAAGTAACAAGGGAAATTTATTCTGGGCTTGATTATGAGGAGAGAGAGAGAGAGAGAGAGAGAGAGAGAGAGAGAGAGAGAGAGAGAGAGAGAGAGAGAGAGAGAGAGAGAGAGAGAGAGAGAGAGAGAGAGAGAGAGAGAGAGAGAGAGAGAGAGAGAGAGAGAGAGAGAGAGAACTGGTTCCTGAAACATCTGGATGCTTGGGACAAGTGACCATTCCATCATGGAGGTCATGATAGAGAAGGAAAGCCAAGCATAATCTGACATACAACTTTGCATAGAGGATAGAAGAGAAGGCTTAAAGTGAGGAAGATCTGGCTTCAAATCCTACTTGTGACAGCTGTGTGACCATGGGCAAGACCCTGAGTCATGGGTTTCCTCACAATAAAATGGGGCTAAGAATATGTGTGGCCCTATCTCACAGGGTTTTTGTGAAGCTTTACTAACCTCAGAGCCCTATATAAACATCAATTGTCATCACTGTTGTTATTTGTGAAAAGAAGGTGTCAAAGAATCCAGAGAAGGTGTAGGTAACATGAAGGGACTTTTCGTAGGAAAAGTTAGCTGAGACAGATAGAAGCCTTCAAAGAAAGAAATTCTAAAACACAAGGAGGAATTATTCCAATGAATAGGGAAAAGAGGATGATTTGGATGCAGGACAAAAGCAACAAAAACTGGGACCCTAACAGAGAAGATGGACATAAAGGATGGTCACAGAGGAGTAGCATGGCCCTTTAAGAATTACATCAGGAATGCTTAGGCCCAAAACAAGCCCAGGCTGGGTTTTTATCTTGGTTTCTGTTTGTTTGTTTTTTGTTCTGTTTTTTGAAGAAACATGGGAGGCAAGAGAAGGGTCAATGAAGGGTTGAAGTCATAGCTCAACATGGATGGGGATGATGATAACGTTGAGAAGACTGCTTTCTGATCCAATGATCATGTGAGTAATGGAATGCCAATGTTTAGCAGGGAGCAGAAACACAAGATAAGGAGATGATTTAGCAGTCTCCAGCTGCCCTCAAAGACCTCAAGTCACCAGGCAAGATGAGTAACATCCCAGGAGAGTGAAGGAACTGGCAGAGGCAAGTGCTGAGCTGCAGCAGATCCCGGAGGGTGGGAAACGTGCCCTGGGACCAGCAAATGGTCAAGCCCAAAAAGGGAAGAGGGCAGACCCTGCCAACCATGGCTGGACTTCTACTTCCGGAAAAATTCCGGACCATGTGGTCGAAGGAGTTATGTGCAAGTTGGCTCTGATCCTCACTTAGGCCATCTCACTTTGAGCAGGACCACAGCAAACAGGGAAGTAGCTTAGTTCTTTTGTGTGAAGTGAATCCCCAGAACACCAAACAGACCCATATTTAAATAGAAATACAAAAACACATTCCAAAGTCAAGTAAAAATGGCCTTTTTGAGTTGTCTGTCATTTTGCATTCCTGGCATCTTCATTTAAGTTCCTTGAGTTCAGGGGCAATTTTATGTTTGCCTGCATCCCCAGTACCTGGTACACAGCAGATACCTAATAAATGCTCACTGACTGACTTGTTGATTTATAATAGCAACCCTATATGCAATGGTCTTTGAACCATAGCCACGGCTTTATCTAAGCTACAATAAAACAAATAACTCCAAAATCCTGTGATTCCATGGTTAAATTCATGAAGAGAAACTGCTGTGCCCTCTTCTTGTTCTAATACTTTACTCTGAGTATGGCAATGATGAATAGGGCACATCCAAAATGAGACTCGGCTGCAAGCAAAATTCATCCTCTGAAGCATGGGGGAAACTGACTCCACAGAGGCTGCATGGTCTAGCCGGTCACATCAGAGCTTCCTCTTGACTCACGCACCAAACCCGCTGAACAGATGATGTGTCCTCACTCGGCCATGAAGGGCTTCATCCCGGGACTGAGGGAGGGCAAGTGTGAGACGCCAACCCCGAAGCTTGGGATGAATAAGCCTTCCTCAGGAGTCTGGAGTCTTGTCTGCCCCTCCTGGCCACAGATGACAGGGAGCCATCTTATGTAAATGCAGTTGTTTCAAAAATACAAATTTATAATAGTTAAAAGCTGACTGAAAGGAGATTAAAAAGATAGCCAGATAGTTAGACAAATGAGTTGGGCCTGATGTTGGCATGAATCAGGACAGGAGATGCCACATGAAGGGGACTGAGAGAGGAGAGGAAAACAACCTAATATGGGATAAGCAAGGAGCACAAAGGATAAAATTAATCAAAAACAGAAACTGACAGCTCAACAGCTTGATAAATTTGGAGTAGGCTGAGGGCCTAAGGGGAAAAAAGCCATGTCCAAAAGAGTAGGCATGAAAGCAGGGAGGATCAGGGGACCAGTCTGGACATCAACAGGGTATGGAGAGCGAGGTTTTCTGATGAACCTGAACCCAACCCAAAAGAATCTTCTTTGTTTTCTCAAGGACCCAGGGCTAAGAAGGAAAGCCTAGCTGGTCAGGGGCTAAGCAGGGCAGGGATGGGGGTGGAAAAGAGCCATCTCTGTACAAGGTTCTGGATAAAGCCACACTCTGTTGACTCTAAGGATTAGAGCTACACTCTGGTCCCGGAGTCAACGGGAAATAGGCAGGACCTTCTTTTCTATTCATAAACAACCAGTGGCCATCACAGGGAACTTTTGGTTTGAGGAAACCTTTGATTTTTTTGTTACAGGCACAACAATTCTTGTGGTCACTGTATTGCTAAAGATTTGTACTCTTCAGCAAGGACAATGACTAATCCTACACCAATCTCCTAAAATCAAGAAGATGGATTAAGATAGCCAGCATCCACTTTGGGAAACCAGCCAATAGAGTCTGGCACCAGGGTGTCATCAGCCCTACCAACAAAGAGAACTTCTCTATCCTGGAACGTCGTGTTTGACCTCCCTTGGGGCAGTCTGGATGGCCTACTACTTAGGCAGCAGACTAGAGAGGAGTATTCTAGGCCACCTATTTAACATGATTATCAACACACAGAAGACCGCCACAACCTATGAGGAAGGAAAATTGTGGAGCACAAAAAAGGGCAAGGAATAACATGTGGTGGACATAAATTGTGACAGAATAGTATAAATGATGAATCGTGTGCATGAAGAGACAAAAAAGGAACCATCAAAGAGATGTGGACGAGAGCCGAACAGGATGAGAAAGGGGTGGTTGGGTTATGACCCATTCTGGCAGAAGGAAGAAACACCTCTAGAAGATTCGAGACGCACCAGGACATTAAAAGATAGAAAAGAGAAGTGAGGGCTCTGCTTTGGTCCCAAAGTCTAACTACCTAAAGGGAGATCCCCTCAATACCTTTGGTAGTGGTGGTGGCAAAAGGCTCCCCCCAAAGCATGAGGAAACTTATACATGGGGTTCTCTTTACTGATAATCCATAACTTTTCATCAAATTAGAGAGGGTATGATCTACCAGGACCTACCGCTGATGTCACATCTAGTTTCTCAAACAATCTGATCAATACCAATTTAATTAAACATGTATTAAGTGCCCACTAAATGCAAAGCCCTGTGGACACACATATGACGCAGGCCCTGAACGACCTCCAGGAGCTTATACTTCCAGCAGGTTAAGAGGAAGGTGGGTTAGGCATCTGCATGCAAATCCTTCCACGGCACAACTAGAGTGAGTATGACCCTCCAGCAGAGGCGGGGAGAGGAGAGGAGGGGCTGACCAACCGCAGCTCCAATGGGGGTGGCAATGAAGGAAGGCAGAGATGTCAGGAGTGTCACAGAAGCTGACCCCACAAGAGTCGGCAGCAGGTTGGACAGGGTAGATGAGGAAGAGAGCGGTGTCAAAGAGGACCCCAAGCCTCTCGAGAGCTGGGAGGCTAGGCCCAGCATTAGAAATGGAAAGTGAAGGAGAGGTTTTGAGGAGGTGATGGGTCAAGGTTTAGAAGAGTTGAGATTCAGGTCTCAATCTTGAGTAGGCAGCTGGAAAGAGGAAGAGATCAATTCTATAAGGTTGCAGCGTGGTGCTTTGGCCGCCTCCCAAGCCACACTCACACCCATAGCTTCCCATGACCTGCTAGAACACCATGGGCCAACCCCTGGGCCAAATACCGCAGGACGCTCACCCCGGAATGAGCTCGGAGGGGCTCAAAAATGATCCTCTAGAGGGCAATTTGGAACTATGCCCAAAGGGCTATAAAAATGTGCTTACCCTTTGACCCAGCAATAGCACTTCTAGGGCTGTATCCCAAAGAGCTCATAAAAATGGGAAAAGGACCCACATGTACAAAAGTATTCATAGCAGCTTTTTTTGTGGTGGCAAAGAATTGGAAATGGAGAGGAAGCCCATCAACTGGGGAATGGCTGAGCAAGTTGTGGTATATGAATGTAATGGAATACTACTGTGCTATAAGAAATGATGAGCAGGCTGACTTCAGAAAACCCTGGAAAGACTTGTATGGACTGATGCTGAGTGAAGTGAGCAGAACCCGGAGAACCTTGTACACAGTGATAGCCACGCTGTGCGATGACTGACTTTGATAGACTTAGCCCTTCTCAGCGATGCAAGGACCTGAGACAGCTCCCAAGGCTCACGAGGGAAGATGCCATCCACATCCAGAGAAAGAACCATGGAGTCCAAATGCGCACCGAAGTGCATCGTTTGTTCTCTTTTTTGTTGTTTTTATTTTGTTTCCTCTTTCTTGTGGTTCCTCCTATTGCTTCTAATTCTTCTTTACAACGCGACTAATGTGAACACATGTTTAATAGGAATGTATATGTAGAGCCTATATCAAATTGCATGCCGTCTTGGGTTGGGAGGAGAAAATTTGGAACTCAAAATCTTGTGGAAGTGAATGTGGAAAACTAAAAATAAATTCTAAAAAAAAATCCTCTATCAGTTAAGAGTTAATGGCTAGAAATACCAAACATGAATTAAGAGAGACAAGAAATGCAATTGTCTCAAGAGAGAAGGTAAAAATGATAAACCACAATAAACACTTATTTTCTGTCAAATTAAAATGTTGCAGAATCTCTTTGATTAGCATGGGAGGGTTAGAGATCTGGAAAGCCCTGAGTTATGAGGAAGAAAAGCCACTCTGGAAAAACCAATACAAAATTGGTTATCATTGGCTATCATCTTAATTTTAACATCTTAATTTAACTTAAACAATTGTGATTTTTTTTCCAAACCAACCTGATAACATGGATCCCTCATGAGTAATCTCAGGCAGATTAACACTCTCAGAAAATGAATAGATGGGGCCCGATTAACCCACTCTCTGAAAGAAAATAAACAATGTTGTAGATGTCAACCAAAGGCATCCCTGTGATGACTCATATAAAAAACACAGATTGAACAACAAGGAACAGTAATAAAAATAAGTATTTGCCTGGTTCAGTCCAAGCTGACTCAAAAAATTATCCTACGGTACTAAATAGGTGATTTTTAAATATCCACCTGTAATCTTACCATCTCTTTATTAGAAGGTATCCAATATATACATATGCTAAGAGAGTCTAGTAGGAGGTAAGCTCCTTGAAGGTAGGGACTGCAGGGATTCTGTCTTTGAATTAAAGCACTAAGATCAGCATTTCCTAGTATGTGACTGTTTCTTGAATTGAATCAAATCCATATCAGAAGGCTTATTTAGATTAAAAGTCACTGACAAATACTCATCAATCAATCAGTAGAAATCAGGAACCTACAATGTCTTTACTAAGCACAGGGAATTCTGTCGCCCAGAGCCCATCCACAACATGTCATCTTGGAGAAGGGCATCAGGAACGACCCAGCTGACACATCCCAGTGTCTGCAGACAGAACGAGCCTGAGCCATCACCTGGGCCAGCCTCCTTACCTTAAGGACACCAGCTCATTGCTATGGCACCAGATGCCTGCGAAGCTCTCCACCTACATTTCTTCCCTGGACCCTCACAAACCCTGTGACACAGATACCACAGGTATTATTATCTCCATTTTACAGATGAGAAAACTGAGGCTCAGAGAATCGAGTGGTTCAGCCAAGGTCACACAGTGACTGCATCAGAGGCAAGAGTCAAACCCAAATCTCCTCCTTCTCGACCCCACTTACAAACAAAGGAACCAAGGCTCAGAGAGATGAAGCAGCCTGGCCCTGGTCACACACACACACACACACACACACAGAGGAAGCAGCACCCAGAGACCCTCCTGCCTCCTGATACCTAGCCCAGCATCCTCGCCAATCCAGCCATATCTGACGGGGCTGCTCACTTCGACGGACTTCTTGATATTCTACGATATCAAGGATGACCACTGTGCTCTCGGAGGCCCTCTCAGGTCTGCGAAGCATGTTACAGATAAGTGTCTCATTTGGTCATCGAAACTACTTTGTGAGGATGATGGGATAAGATCACAGATGCCAAGCTGGAAGGGACCTCAAAGGCCATCCAGACCAAACACCTCACTTTATAGACAAGAAAACTCAGGTCCAGGAAAGACCAAATGATTTGCCCAGGGCACACAGGTAGAACCTGTCAGAGGCTGGACTTGAACCCAGGTCCTCTGACACCCGGGCAATGGGGTGGTACAGTGAATAGAGTGCCAGGCCTGTCAGGAAGACTTATCCAGCCTCAGACACTTCCCAGCTGGGAGACCCAGGGCAAGTCACTTCACCTTGTTTGCCTCAGTTTCCTCATCTGTAAAATGAGCAGGAGAAGGAAACGGCAAACCACTCCAGTGTCTTTGCCAAGAAAACCCCAAATGGGGTCATAGAAGAGTTGGACATGAATGACACAGCTGAACAACAACAAAACCTCTGACACCAGAACAATGCCTTCTCCTTCCCCCAATTATATTAGCCTCGTTTCCAAGGTAAGAAAGCCGAGAATCAGACCATACAGCTAGTAAGTGTTGAAGGCAGGATTTGAACCCAGGTCTTCCTGCCCAGCATTCCATCCATTACACCATGTTGCTGCCTTAAGAAAGGGTTATCCATTGCGGTTCCATTATTATCATGGCAAATAGTGTGTCCATATTTATATCACTCTCTCTCCCTCTCTTCCCATGTTCCACTGTGCCAACCTTCCCCAAGAGGACGAGGAAACTGGTTCTGGCACAGGTAAGAGTCACGCAATGCCCAGCTCTTCTCTACTATGTCACAAGTGGTTACCGCCGATATTCCGGGCTCCTCTGAGACAGGCTCCTTTTCCCCACAGACTCCCCCATGACCACAGCCATGGCCACTAGCATCACCCCCTCTACTCCATCTATTCCAACAGAGAGAGCTCAGGCCTCGGGGGAACCCAAGGGCAGGCTGGTAATCCAGAGGGTAGTGATTCTGGTTGCTGGAAGGATAATAATGCTTTGATCTTTGTACACACTCATTCTATTTGGAAAAATACTGCAAATGTGAATACATTTTCAAATGCCTGAGTCATCTATGGCCAAACCTTTGAGCTGGCCTGTGTTTATGATAAGAGTCACAGAAGTAAATCTTTTCAGCTTTATAAATAGAGACAAACCTCTATTCTAGGGGCCAATTGAGCTAAAGATACCATACAACACATAGCAAAGCCAGTGTACACCCGGAGAGAGAAGACTCATCAAGTGGTAACAGCTGCTAGTAACAAAATGAGGCTTCGCTGTTGAGATGATTTTTCATTATTTGAGAAAGTTATGGAATATTTTAAGAGATGATTCACTCTGAAAACATGTGTGCACTTGGTACTTTTCCCTTTTGATATATGGAATTTTGTGATGAAAAATACATTAGCACATAAATTCCACAACCCTTTCAGTATTTTGAACATTAGAATGAATGTGAAAGGGATGGATTTTTCCTCTTTCTAAAAACAACAGCCCCAAGTGGATTTTCATTATTAGAAAGATGGATAAACGAACAGTGTTCCAGGAAAAGAGTCTCTGTGATTAAAGCTCTGTTGCAACAAATAGCTTTTTGTTGTTGTTTTTAAACTTTGGGAATGGAGCCCACGGCTATTAATATTTTGGTGAAGTTACAGGCTCTGCCATTGTCAATGTAAATAGCATTCCCGAAGTCAGAGCCGTCTGCATCGACCTCTCCTAACCTCTGGCAGGAGCCCTGGGTCCTTGTCTCCCAATCTTTAGCTCCCCACAAGGAAGTGGCATTTAAGATGGTGTTTTGGCAATTAAGGAGAGCTACGTATTCTGTAAAATGATATACACATCTGACTGCCAGAGATTTGTGGAACTCACGAGGTTGCAACTGAGCAAACGGAAAAAAGAGAATCAGAGAACCGTAGCGCAGAAAAGGGCTTACGATTGAGGCCAGCAGCTCCTAATGTGGGATACACAGACCACCAGGGTCCACAGATAGGCCAGAACAGCTTGGCCAGGAGCTTCTCATCTTGGGGGTCCCAGGGACAGATCTGAGCTTGGAATTTTTCATATTTGGATAACTATATTTCCATAACTTGGTTTCATTTGTACTTTGACCTACATACTCTATTTTACACATTTAAAAACATGATACTTACAAGGTTGTTCCATGGGCTTCACTAGACTGCCAGAGTGAGAGTCCATGATGCCAAAGAGGCAGGTGAATGAGCCTTGATCTGTTCTAACCCCTTAATATCACAGATGAGGTGACAAGACATGTCTGAGCTTATGGAGGCTCTAGACCTGGAAGGAATCTGAGGGCTGGTCCAGCCCAAGCCCTTCCTTCTCCAGATGAGGAGTCGGGGACGACTGGGACCCAGTGTCCCATCTCCTGGCATCAGGATCACTCCATTCACCTACACACTACCTCAATGCCAGATGGAAAGGAGAGAGAGAATATTTAGCCATGTTTGCTGCAGGAACACACCAGAGGGCCTCATCATTAGTCACAGTGGTCACAGGGGCAAAGAGCTCCAGAAAGATCTTCCACTCAATGAAAGAGCAGCTGCGATCCGCATCAGTGAAGGAGGTAGTCACACCAACCCCACCACTGACTGCTCAAGTATTTAAATATGGCAGCATTAAAGTGCTCAGGCCAGTTCCTGGTGGTGGCATGCTTTTCTCAGAGTCAACGCCGAAAAACTGACCTTCCTCAAGGACAACAATTCTCCAGAGGCCAGTCTCAAAATAGCAGCAACGAATTCATAAGAGGGCAAACATCCTCCTCATGACTGAGCATATAGTTTTCACAGGACTATTAATAACATTATCAACCCTCTTACCTTTGTCTTTAACCACAGCCCTGGTTTTTTAAAATGAAGTATTACACTATACCAACACACAAGGTATAAGAAAAAAACTATGTTCTACTAAACAGTCAACATTTGAAAAGAAAGCACAACATCTGTTCTTGCTCAGAGGGAAAGAAGCTGAATCATGACAATTATTTTCCTAAGCAATAATGTGCTTCAGTATTTTATGAACCCATGATTTCCTGGTATGGTTTGTTTCTCCACAAACACACATTCTCAACTCCTCCACACCTGAGCAGAGAGTCTTGAAAAGATGCTATGGCAAAAAAACCCAAGTCGTCTGACTGACCTCAGCTCAGGTCCCATTTCATCTCGGCAGAACCCCTCAGTTCACTGGGGGAGAAGCCATAACCTCCTGGGTAGGGCATACCATGACAATGCTACAATGGTGTCTGAGAAGAGGAGGCGGCTACCAGACAGCCTCGAACGCCCTGCACTGACCCCGTGTACAGTCAGGAGATCACAGTTTGTGGATGCAATTCAATTCAACGAGCCTTGATTCAGTGAGCACCACGTGCCAGGTCGTGAGGACTACAAGGCAAAAGGAAAAGCATCCTTGTCCTCAAAGACAGGAAACAGCCTCCACAGAGACAAGCAAATACAAGGGAAAGGGACAAGGAGAGGGGCTGGACTTGGGATCCCAGGGGTCAGTCGGTCAAGAGCGTTGATTAAGTGTGCCTGGCACTGTGCAAAAGTCAGCCCCTGCCCTCTAGGAGCTCACCATCTAGTAGGAGAGAGAACATGGAGACAACTATGTAAAACAAGATCAATGCCAGACACACTGGAAGGCGACCCCCTCTTATCAAAGCAGGTCAGCAGCTGCTCTGCAAACTATAATCTTAGAAAGCTTGACCCAGAACCCTAAACAGTGACACAGCACTTGACCCCCAATCTGCCTGGTTTCAGGGCCATATCTGCCATGACAAGCAAATGCAAAGTATGGAAATAATTACAAAAGGAAGGAACGCTAACCAATGGGAGCACAAGGAAAAGCTTCACATACGTGGCGGGTGGTCTTGAGCCACATAAGGAAGGGCACCAGGAATTCCAAGACATGGAGAGGAGGAGGG